CAGAAAAAGTTACAAATCGCGGTCTCTGTGCCGTAGCTCAATGTGAATCATTACGTTACAAATTGGTTGGTGGTTTAGCTGTTCGTCGCGCTTGCTATGGTGTGTTGCGTTTTATCATGGAATCCAACGCGCAAGGGTGTGAAGTAAGTCGAATTTCATTTTTAAATGTAAATTAATATAATCGAAATGGATTACATACCATAAGCTTGTTGCTTCATTTAATAAAAATCACTACACCTTTCTCTCAAAATCCTGGTGATCCTTTCCCCACATATTTTGAGTGAAATTCTTCGATAGTCGAATGGTGTAATGGTATGGGCATTGCGGTACAGAAATGAGCTATCGCTGTTCAAGTTCCAGGTAGGATAGTGTTGTCCTTATGAGAGCTATGATTATTCCATATAACTCTGACACCTCTTATGTTAGCATCTCTCTTGGAGATGCAATGATTCTGCGTGTTATCTGAGCTCTTTTCTCATTTCATGACAAGAAGCAAATTAACGAGTTTCGAAAACACTTTGATTTTTGGTTGTGAGTATTTTTGGTACGGATATTTTTAAATTATTGCATTACTTTCTACTTTCTTAGGTAATTGTATCGGGGAAATTGCGCGGTCAGCGAGCTAAGTCAATGAAATTTGTTGATGGATTAATGATCCATTCCGGTCAACCGGTAAACGAATACATCCAGCAAGCAGTTCGTCATGTTCAACTTCGTCAAGGTTTGCGATTTTTGGTTTTTAATCTTTTTGAATTCTTTTTGAAAAATTGCTTTGGCAAGAGATTTTACAACTTGTGTGGTAAGATCTTGTCTACACAGTGATACATTCGCTTATGTTGCTTCGCTTGAAATCAAAGAGAATGGATGTTAGATTAATGTGAGAAGAAGATCGGTACGTATTTAATTTAAATTTTTTCGACTAGCATTAAAATATAGTTTAATTAACCATACAGGGAGTGTGAATATGGTTTACTTTAGGTGTTTTGGGCATCAAAGTGAAAATAATGCTTCCGCACGATCCTAAAGGAAATATGGGACCACGTATTGCTTTGCCTGACCAGATTCATATCCAAGAACCGAATGAAGCACCGAATCCATTGCACCCAGAGTCGGAACATAAACAGGAAAAGAAGGACTTATTGCAATCGATGTCGGGTCAAATGCCGCAAATACCTCCTTATTAAAGGACATAGAAATATCTGTTATTGTTAAATATTCGTCTATTATTCAGAAGTTTGCAGATACAAATAAATCAAGTTGTTATTTGACGGAAGTTTGTTTACAACAGTCATGAAATTAATTTTTCGTGAATAATTTGCTTTACGACACTTATGAAATTTTTCTTAAATTTCAACTAAATCACTTATAATAAGGCTTGCCAGCGCACAGTTCTTGCACGTTCATTGATATTTGTGGTGTACTCGAAATGTTTTTTCATGGAAATGGTCGTTAGTGAGATCGCCTGCTTTCAAGTGGGAGATGAAGCTTAGTGTTCAAATAAAGTATGATAGTTTTGTGGCTCTAATCTGTGTCTCTTGAAGTCCTTGTGTTATTAAGGGGACCAGACGTGTTTGTTTACCAGAAACGCAGTTTTGATATCAGTTTGTTTACTAAAGTAAAATCCAAAATTGACGAGGCTACAAATAGGAAATGTCAGAATTGTGGTATTATCCATCATAGGATAATATATGTAGAGCTACTGTAGTATCAAATTTATTAATGGCCCAATAAAAATTTATTCAAAAACGTTAGGCTTTGTAAAATGACGGCATTAATTTCAAAAGTAGAGAAATGGCCTTTCACATCAATTTAGGGAAGTACCATTTAAAATTCAAACATCTTCACCTAGTGTTTGACAGTACCAGAAATTCTTTAATTTTAAGGTCGCTATGAAGAAGTGTTAAAAGTAGAATGAATAAACTTTTCTGGATTACTGAAAGTGACTTTAGGAAGACATAAGAATTGTTTATTAAAGAATTGCTGGACACGTATGTAGCAAGCACTATTCAATGCCAATTTCTTATAATAAGGATTGGTTTAAAAGTGAAATAATCCTTTAATTTTGGATGACAGCGTAAGATAGGTAATATTGGGCCGGATGGCTGATAATTTCGCGTTCAGTTCCTGAAATGTCGGACGATTTTTGGGATCGTATGCCAAACAGCTAAGCATTATTTGCTGCATCATCAGCGGCATACCGGGTGGACTGTTGATTTTCACCTGAAATTCATGAAAATTTAGCAATCAAGATTAGATCTAATTAATCATTCCGTTTTAAATTTTTTTATCAGCTCAAGTTCTAAATTCGATTAAATTATTAAATTCTGAGCCCATTTACACCATTAAATTAGTTCGAATTCTAGAGCTCAATCTTTCAAAAGATTTTAGTGAATTTCCAAAAATTTAATGGTTTAACCCGTTGCTCAATAATTCCTCGTCGCAATTCCTTGTTATTCTGAATTTCTGCGTATGGTTCCTGACCACCGGAATATATTTCCCAAACGGTTACACCGAAACTCCAGACATCGGTTTTTGACGAAAAATGTCCGCGTTTCAGTGTTTCCGGAGACAACCACCTTGAAGTGAATAAATTAATTGATGTTGGATTTATTTTAATTTTGAGGATAAAAAGTAAGGTTAATCATCCAGTCAGCAGAAATTCAACTGTCCTGCCGGCTTCGTCGGTTTTTGTATACGGAAACATTAGTAGGACTTTCACCGGATTGGTACATTCTTCATGCTTCTTTCACGATATTTGATTCCAAGCAATGACAATCCAAAATCGCTTAATTTAACTTCGTCATCTGCACTCAGTAGGCAATTTCGTGCGGCAATATCCCGATGGATAATTTGTGCTGCTTCAAGATATGCCAGGCCAGAAACCGCCCCAGCACAATACCGTATCTTGTCCATATCATTAGGCTAAGAATTTAAGCATGAAAAAAACCTTGGATAATATCAAGCAGCGAAAAACTTCCTTTTTTTGCAAATTTAAAAAGTAATTTAAAAAAATATTTCACCGGTCGTTTGGTATTCTGTACGCGGGCAAGGAGTGATCCACCACTAGCAAATTCCATAACGATCATTATTGGATCCTTCAAAGTTGCTACACCGTAAAATTTGATGATATTAGGATGGTTTAGTTTAAGCATTAAGTTTGCTTCACGAAGAAATTTAATTCTCTCATCTGTGCTAAGATTTCCTGAATGAAGTGTTTTGATTGCCACCGGTATATAGCCCCGAAATACTCCGAGATTAAGCACTCCTTCCCAAACTTCACCAAACGCTCCCTCACCCAATTTTTTGTTTCGTTCAATCTAAAATTTTCTAGAGCACATTACAGAAAATGCAAATTTAAGAGAAATAAAAAGGATAAATGGGCTAAACCGGATATAAACAAGTCTTGAGAAGTAAATGAAAACTATCTTCAGGTAGCTCATCCTGTACCACATCCGGAAATCTTTTCTCTTGTCACAAACACTGAGTTTTAGCAAATGTTAACCTGTTCATGAGCAAGTTGCCAATCACTCCTTCCAATTCCTTTTACGATGTATACATTTTCATCATTAAGCGGCTTCTTCATACGACTGTGATAAGCAATCAGATCGGAGATTGTCTTGAATGCGTATATGTATACGTAATATAGATGTTTCTGCAAATGACTTAACGTACAAACGTGAGAATTTTTAGTAAGCATAATAGAATAATAATAAGAGTGCACTTGAATTGATATAAATCTCATTGAATTACTCACAGGACGGGTTTTTTTTATGATAAAGTTTGTAAGTTCATTTGAATTTTCCGGAAGAACAGTGATCACGTATTGCATTTCACCGTCAATTTCTGCGCGTCGTACGAGAAAATCACCCGGATTTGTAAGTAATGGTTTGCATTCATCATGTGACATGAAGCCATGATAAAATGGTTCATCTTCTACCTGTTGAGCTGTTCCACCAGCCTCCTCAGGCATTATCTGAAAAACACTGATAAGGTTTGATAAGTGTGATAAGCTTAGAATCTTTGAAACACATTGCATTTGCAATCATTTATTATGAAAAATTTTCATTGTAAAGAATTCAGCTAACCTGAATAAGTTTTTTACCGCGTAACGATTGTGACGGTGCTGCATCAGCAGGGACTGATTCGGGAAAATACTTTAAAATTTCTCCAGTTCATAAATTTAATAAAGTGTGAAATAAATGAGAATTTATAGAATTAGAAATGTGTAGTAAGTGAAAAAAGAAGTACGTGTAAAACAATTATTGATCGAATTTTCGAATTTTCACAATCAATCTCACTTCAATATTTGAATGAAAATTTCTTATCTGTTAAATTTCTTTTCATTAATTAGCAGTTTATTTCGAAGATCCTAACAATCACTACCTTAGAAACTGCTGATCGCGTTGATGCTGAGGATTTCGGATGCGCTATTGACGCATGCCCTGGAAATTTACTGTAACAGTGAAGCTGTCCTGCATTAAATCCTTCAGATTTGATTATTACAATGAACAATTTCCATTTAATATTAAAGTCTCTTTGAAAATTTCTCGAATAAGAAAAAAAAAATCAATTATTACCGCTGCTGCTTCGTGATGATGATCTTCTACGAATGATCAATTTTTTTGCTGTAAGAAATTTCGATTAAGTATGTCTGAACTTCTAATTTATATCTAATCAATTTTTTTAATCAAGTTTTTTTTATTATTCTTTTTTAGGTAATTCAAAAACATATCATTCTTTTATCGGTTGAAATGGAGTTATGAAAGTATAGAACTTTTACGATGGCTATGTCGTAAGCCGGATCCTGATGCTGATCCCGTAGTCTGAAATGATGTTAGGGATTCATTGACAGGTGTTTGAACGCCATTTGGAGTCTGAGGTGGAGTGGTAGCCGATTCAAAGACCATCGTTAACTGTAAACAACTGCTCCTACCAAATTTGTTGAATTACCTAACAACTATTGTGAAAATATTAAAAATGATTGTGGTGTATTTGTTTTCCATCATTTCAATCATGGAATTCATTTTTTTTTTCGGATTTGTATTTTATGCAAATTCAACAAATTAGAATTGAAGAAGAGATGAAGGAGTAAAAGAATTATCGATTGTTGGTTCCGAATTTTATAATTGAGATCATTATTTTGTGGATTATTCACTATCACTGATATCGTTATTGATGACCGAGCCTTTTTCACTTATCATTTTCCTTTATCAATTGTTGTATCGAACTATAACTGAGTGAAATATATTGTTGTCAGTGGGAAATTCTGAAAGCAAACTTTCAGAAAGTTTAGAAGGATTTAGAAGGATGGACGTGACAGTATTAATTATGGTTCTTCCGTAAAATCTATACTTTGACCTGATTTTATAATGAAAATATATCGACAATTTCTCTATGCAAATCATATCAATAAACTGTCATCATACAATCTGACTTATCATCTCCACTCCGTTTTATTCACTTCATATTCAAATATTTCAATCAGTCAAAGTTTTCACTATTGAAACATTTTGCTCAATGTATTGTTAAATTTTAATTCGCTGTCTGACACAGGAAGGGAAGGGACTGTAAGTGTTTTCTTTCATTGATCGATATCTTATGATCCATATCATTCATTTAATGATTTTTAATCATCAAATGAATTTTATTGTCAAATTGATCAATGCTTTCCAATTCACAGTCTGTATTTGGTCCGTGATTTTATTCATTTCAGAAAATTTTATTGTTCAGTTGGAAAAAAAAATTTATTTCAAAAGATTTTTTATGTTAATTGGTTTATTTGATCGAAGAAACAAACGATCACGAGAAACAATCGTATGACGTTACTGTATTGTACTTACAATCATACATATTTCCCATTTGTCACTATTCATTGGTACAGGCTGACTATAATTGTTATCATTATTGAAATTGAAAATCGGCGGAAAAGAGAAGAGATGAGAGATAGAGGAATGTATTTCATACATTTTCAAACTTATTCCCGTCCAATTGGTACTCAGTTCCTATCATATCATCATCATTTGAAAGGAAAATAATCGGAATTGATCGTACTGATACTATGATAATAGATGAAATGGTTATCTAAGACGATGGGATCTTAATGCATAGTTAAAAATAGCATTATCGATTAGTTCGCTAACTTAAATTTTTTGCTAATTTAAATGAAGAAAATTTTATTCAAAGCGAATAAAATTGAAGTGGATTCAGTGCATGTACCCCCTGGCTCTCCTCCTCTTTTTCTCCCTCTCCCTC